TTAATGAGCCAGAAATATTAACTTTTTTCCTTCAACAAATTAAATTCTAAAACATTTTTTTTATGTATTGGAAAAATAGATAAAGGCGTTTGACGTATTTGTAGGTAACAATTATTTCCTATTTAGTGTAAATGGGTATTAAAATGACTAAAAGGCAGCATTCTGCCCGAAGCAGTAACGTCTTATGTAAACAATGTACGCACCATTCAGCCAATGATTGACCCCGCGTGCTGTGACGGCACGTGTTAAGACAGTCATCTTTGACAGAGATATTACTACTCGTAATTCTCTGTGAAACAGATTGGGCTTCTACTACACGAAGATCTGATCGGTTGTAGTGAAAGGTCGCGTCAGGGGTCATACGAGCGGCTTTTGACTATGACATCAGACATTTTAAATCAGCGTTGATGGTTCAAGTGGGTATTTGGAAATAAAACTTTTGATTGTCTTCGCTACCCACAGTTCCGTGCACCGCACGCCAAGAACTCGCCACAGCAGACTGTTTGATTAGCGAATCCCTCACATCAACCAGAACGCGGGTTATTAACAACTCTCCCAGATCCTGGTGTAGTGAAAGCAAGTAAAACGAAATTTTGAACTATGAAAAACGAAACGAAATAGGATCTGTGTTTTAATTAGATTGCTTTAGAAACAGCCTTTGGTAACGGTATTTACATCTCGCAACCTTGACGAAATCTGCAGGTGGACTTACTATTTAGACCTAACCCTTGAGCAAACTTTCCCTCATAGCACATGGCATGGAGTATGTCGGTCTTCATTACTAGGTTCTTGTAAAAAAAAATTGGATGTTAAACCATTTGTTATTTCAATCGGATGGGACGAAAAACCGGAGTCACGTGTACCCACTGGCATGCACGTAAAAGAATCACTGGCAGTTGGAATTCGGTATAAGAGTAGGCCATAGTGCCGCTGCCTGGGCAAAATTTCCCTCATAGCACACTGTATGGATGGCGTATGCCCGTCTTCATTAGCCCAACCGGAGCAGAACAGTAGGACGTTAAAGATACCTTCCCGCGTACAAACTGGGTGATTTGATGATATATTTAGCCTAAAAACATATTCAAACTAATTAATTGATCATAAATTTGCTTCAATTCCTTCTCAAAACATTGTAATTGTCAAGGAATACCCTTGCTATAAAAAATCGATCAAAAGGGGTCATGTTTGTGTCACGTGACTTACGGGTGCGAGGTCGGAGGCGAATTCATTACATACACAAGACGATGTTGTCTTTATTTAATCGCTGACTATTTATTACAAATGTCGAATCCTAATTAAATTCTCGGATTATCCACTGCCCGCGTCTTTTTCCGTGATTTTTATCTCAGAAGATGTACGTCTAACTCTTCAGAAATTTTATCAACATGTACATCAAGCGCTCAATCTCCGCGTGCAATCTTTGACGTCACGCGTGCGGATATTCCTAATCGTCGGGCTACGATTAGGGGAAACCTGACATTTTTGTCCTGTATACACTCCATGAGTGTTTTTCAGGGAATCCTGTATTTTTCTAGTAAGATTGGTTAACTCTACTTTCCATATATACCAAAATTGCCATACCTTTATTAGAAATAACCACCCGATAAATACTTTTCTGGGAACCTATCTTTAAGCCCAATTTCATTTTTTATTTGTGCAATGCCTGATAATTACTGCATGGGTTGTTGCATTGGATAGTTTTTTGTTCCTTGTCTGCATTGCTACACAGACGGCAATTTACACCTCCCAGGAGAGGAAAACATATACAGAGATATCAATCTTTTTTAGCATTCATATGGAATAGATTATTAACAACTTCTGTTTTTTGTTGTGGTAGTGTTAATTGATGTATTCATGCGCCATGCCCTAATGACCCTCATTACTAGAATGAGTCTGCTTCACGACAGAACATCTTCCATCCTTGGTTAGTACTAAATGGTAAGGCCAGCTCAATTTTTCGTCATAGTCACAAGATGTAAACAGTGCTAGTACTAATCCCAACCCTAGTCCGAACCCTCGACCTAGCCTTATGTGGAGACTTAACCTCTCCCCCAAATTCTTAAACCTAACCTACAATCTCGCTAACAATCACGTGCCCTAACCTTATTTACATCTCAGAGACCTTGACAAAAATTGAGCTGGCCTTAACAAATAGATTTAGCCACAGAACATCTTCCATCATTCGCTAAACATTCTCCCAGACAAGCATAAAAAATAAATTGTAATGTAGACGTGGTGTGACGTCATAGTCGTTTCCCGCTCAATAAGTATGGAAAAAATTCGCAAGATATTTATCATTATTTTTGAGGAAGTCACAAAGACAATTAAAGATACATTATGGAAGATTAGGTAAAGAGCTGGCAGTTCTCACTATAATAGTTAAAAACTAGGTAATGTAAAGGCAATTTACTGAAAATTTCAGAGAATTAATAGTTTGACATTTCGGCCTAGCCTCGATCATCATTACTAAAGTCGGTACGATAAAAAACATAGCCTCGATTATCCATTTCATGATTAAATCATGAATTAAAGTTGAACAGCAAATTGGATCATAATCCAGTAAATATCGCAGGCTAGCGATGACATCGAGAGTTGATTATGGTCTGGATAAGTTAATTAATGTCTAATTAATAATTTAGATAACATTTTAGACCTAAAAAAAGACCTGCAATAGGCAGATTTAGCTCTTGCACAATGTATGTTTCAATAAAAGATATCAAATTAAGTCATACTATTATTTCGTTGGTATAATTTCCGGCAGTTGATACGCTATTCCTGATTAGGATGAAATTTTGTGCAACATAAATCCTAGCAGCTAAGCCATCCAAGTAACCGACAATGGTTGTGACATATTTATTCTTTTGAAGGCAATGTGACCTTATTGTAAGGCACAACCTTAATGTTAAACTGTATGATTCAGGGGAGATAACTACGTTTTGTCTTTTGGAGGTAATGTGACCTTATATAAGGCAATAAAAAACAATCAAGAGTAACAACCCATGAAAAATTTATGAGAAAAAGTTATAGTTTGATTGGCTTCTAGTTCTCCCATTAAAAGGGAAACTCCCTCGAATTACAATTGCAACCTCGTATTCTTACACAAATGGAGAGTGAGAGAGAGAGAGAGAGAGAGAGAGAGAGAGAGAGAGAGAAAGATGAGGTTTAACGTCCACTCGACACAAACTAGGTCATTTCGGGACTAACATATGGTTTAATTTTTATTTCAATAATTCGCTTGCGCATAGGGGTCGTTAGCTGTGGGAGAAAACCAGAGGGCCGGGAGAAAACCCACGAAGTTGGACAGGCAACCCTACTCCTTGTAACGTACAACCGGGAATTCGAAACCACGCCAGTTGACTCAATGACAGGCTTTAGGATACAGCGCGCACGTGCTAACCATTCGGCCATCCAACCCCCCTACACAAATGAAATGCGGATTAACGCCCTACTCCGACTGGACTAATAAAGACGAACATACAATGTGCTACGAGGAATATTTTGCCCAGAGAGCGGCGATACGGCCTACTCTTAAATCAAATTCAAAATATTTTTGAAAGGCATTTAGTCAACGGGATAATAATAAACTGACAACTTTATGGATAACATTCACATAACATAAACCTAGTGAATGTTATCCATAAAGTTGTCAGTTTATCAAATTCAAAATGTCAAAGGTCATTTTGTACACTGGACCCTTGCCAGGCCCTCCGTACGGCACCACTCAGAAGAGGAAACCACGCCGGATTATCCAGATGGACTTTCCCTGTCAACACAGGGATCGAATATGGAAGCTTACTGATTTACTGTAGCTCCCCCCCCCCCCGAAAATTTTAACACAAAACCTTCATGTACAAACCTACTGCTGTGCTGGTAACGTTCTCTTCGGCAGTTAATTCTTCATCATCTGAAATAAATGCAATGAAATGATATGGGGTTTAACGTCCTATTGTTCTGCTCCTATACTGGGCTAATGAAGAAGGGCATACGCCATAAAGTGTGCTATAAGGGATTTTTTTTTTACCGGGCAGCGACATAATGGCCTACTCTTATATCGATTTCCAAATGCCACGGAATCTTTTGCCCATGCATAAAAGGGATTTTTTTTTTATGTGGTTGATTATCCAGTATTTTTCGCCAAGTCAAGTAAGAGTTGCATCCCTTCCCAGAATAAATCCCACAATTCTTTCATTATTATAAACAACCATGAACCGTGGCGACGAAGTAGGGTAAATTAAAAAAAAACCCATAGATATGGCACATGAAGAGAGAAATCTTACAATATAAAAAATATTAAATGTGTTGGATATTGAATTGGCAATGCAATCAAATGGATTTTCTGGAATGGCATTCGTAAATTGACTTCATAGGCGTCGACATCTTGGTTTGGGACTAGTTACCTCCCTTAGACTTTGTTTATGATAATGGGAAAGACCGGATAATCTAGGCAATGGCCTATTATTCTCAAATGTTGACAACGCTTCCGGACCAATACTCGTAGAATATTTATCTGGATGATAGAAACAAGTCTTCAAGTGTTTGGCGTGGTTTCGAATCACCGGTTGTACGTGACAAGGAGTAGGGTCGCCTGTCCAACCTCGTGGGTTTTCTCCGGGTCCTCCGGTTTCCTCCCACTGCTAAAGACCCCTACGCACAAGCAGATTATTAAAATAAAATTGAACCATATGTTAGTCCCGAAATGACCTAGTTTGTGTCGAGTGGACATACCCCCTCTCTCTCTCTCTCTCTCTCTCTCTCTCTCTCTCTCATGTTGAAACATCACAATATCTGATCAGTGGGGTTGTGAAATTCCAACCAATGTCTAATCCATAGGTGTAGGAGCCGGGTGTGTGGCATTTTTCGGGTGGTGCAATTGCGTTTTTTCGGACAAAAAGATTTGAGAATGAGAATATATATTAAAGATTTATAATTGTAAAATGAAATCGCTCGCAGTTTACGTTTTGAATGCTATAATACTTAAAGTAGCTAAGTCTCTTAACTCAATATCATCCAAAACCTTCGACAATGAAAACACGAATTATTTGTCAATTTTAATCAACATTGGTGTTATGATCTTACCGGGAAAAGATGGGCTTCTGATATCCAATATTTAAGAAAAAATAAACATTTTACGATTGATACACGAATCGTGTACCATAATGCGTTTCAGCTCAATTTGTAACCTGCGACTCGGAAGAACGAGTTTAGACATATTCCACAAGTCATGTCAAACGGTGACCACATATTCTTCTCTGGAGAGCAAGCGCAATAAATACTATCGGTGTAGACTGGAATAACCAGACGCTAGAGATTGCTATTCGATTGAAACTTCTGGCGTATTTCGCCGAACATAACTGTTTTGAAATTAGAGTAAAAACGGAAACGATTGAATGTAAATCATTTTTTTTTACATTCATATTACATTATTATATACCTTGCGACCCATTTGTGTCAATTTTTAGGTCCCAAATATTAACGATTTAGCTCCTTTAAGGGGAGCTTTGTGGAAAATTCGTTTTATTTAATAATTGATTCATTCTGAAAATTCGGTTGACGAAGAAAATTTTCGGGCAAATAGTCTCATCATCCCTAACTGAGACTGTTCCCCTACGCCTATAGTTTAATCAGTGGTACTGTAACATTCCAACCAATATCTAATCAGTGATGCTTTCATATTCCAACCAATGTCTAATCTTAATTCATCGTTCCATTTACAGGTCTTTGTGTTGTATTGTGAACTATGTGGTGTAGGCTGAAGCATAAAAAGAAACCGACGATAATAGTGTCGGTCTTTGTTTTTATTTTGATTTGGAGACAATATTATGTCATCCCAGGTCTCGACTTGTTCCAACACTTTCTTGATGACACTCGAACCCACAGCTATAAATACCTCATAAATGAATCGGAGATTTGTAAACTGTTTCCAGAAAAAATATTTTTATTAATAGCAGTTCCTTCAAGAACGTCTGAATTTGAAGAAAGAAAGGTTATAAGACAGGCATGGGGGTCGTTGGCTGTGAATAATACAGAAATACGTTTGGTTTTTATGCTTGGATATCGTGCAGAGATCAACCATCATGATTTAAAGACTGAAAGTGAAAACTACCACGATATTATTCAAGAGGATTTTTACGATAGTTACCATAATCTCAGTATTAAATCTGAAGCCATTCTTCGTTTCGCCAGCACATTTTGTCGGGGTGTAAAATATATACTAAAAGTTGATGTGGATGTCTTTATAAACCTACCAGCCTTGATCGAGGATTTACGTAAACATGACGGGAGAAATATGATTATGGGACACGACATTCTGTTCACGAAGCCCAATCGAAACCCAAAGTCAAAGTGGTACACGGACGAGATTACTTATCCATTAGCGCATTATCCAAATTATGTATCTGGACCGGCCTACGTGTTATCCGGAGATATAACTAGCAAATTACACAGTGTCGCTTTAAAGACAAAATACCATTATCTAGAAGATGTTTTTATTAATGGTATAGTAAGGGAACGTGCTGCAGTTAAATTGGTTCACCATCGAGGATTCCATCCAGGGGTCGCTGCCTGGGATCCATTTGTTGATATTTGTTGGTTTGAAAATCAAATTTCTGGACATCCCTATACAAAAGAACAAATAATACACATGTGGTCAGAAAAAGTTCAAAACAAAATCTGCACATGGCCATTAAAAGTGTTTTATAAGTTGCATGATCTTTTAAAGTGATGGTGATGGCGATTCATTGGATCATGTGCATCACCCCCATGGGTATCATTTGCATTCGGAAAATATCTAATATTTTACGGATCAATCTATACTAAAATTGATTAAAGTTTAGTCATAATATCAACACTAGATGATCCCCAGGCTGGAATTCAAGGATTAAAAAGAGGCCAATCAAAAGTTTTTAGTAAAGATTACATGTGGCGCTGGGATCATATGTATGTTTAAGTATTCTTAGCTGCCTGTGATCATATGTTACAGATAAAGTTATTTGTTAGATATTTTTTATAAATTATCACGTAATAATGGGTATTTTGTGTTTTCTTACAGGGTTTCCAATTTCAAAATATGGATATGCTGATTTATATGTTTATCCTGCATGGATGAACTATACACGAGGTCCCGCGTTCGGTCCCTGCGTTGGCCGAATAATATCATCGAGATTTTCCGAGTTGGTACCGCTTTGTCATTGGCGTAGGACAGAGGGCCTGTAACGAAAGACCTGCAATAGGCAGATTTAGCCCTTGAATAATGTATTGTCTGAAATTTTCAAGATATTGCCTTTTCATTATCTAGTTTTTGACTATCATAGCCAGTACTGTCAGCTCTTTATCTAACCTTCCATAATGCATCATCAATAAAGACAGTTGGTTGAAACTGGGCTTGATAGTCATACTGAAAGGAGAATACCAGTCAATTCGGTTGAAACTGGGCTTGATACTGAAAGGGAGAGAGAGAGAGAGAAATGGGGTTTAACGTCCACTCGACACAAACTAGGTCATTTCGGGACTAACACATGGTTCAATTTTATTTCAATCATTCGCTTGCGCATAGGGGTCTTTAGCAGTGGGAGGAAACCGGAGGACCCGGAGAAAACCCACGAGGTTGGACAGGCGACCCTGCTCCTTGTCACGCACAACCGTGGAATCGAAACCCCGCCAGTTGACTCAATGACAGACCGTATGATACAGCGCGCGCGTGCTAACCATTCGGCCATCCCACCCCCCTGATACTGAAAGGAGAATACCAATCAGTTGGGTTGAAACTGGGCTTGATACTGAAAGGAGAATACTAGTCAGTAGGTTGAAACTGGGCTTGATTCTGAAAGGAGAATACTAGTCAGTAGGTTGAAACTGGGCTTGATTCTGAAAGGAGAATACTAGTCAGTAGGTTGAAACTGGGCTTGATACTGAAAGGAGAATACTAGTCAGTAGGTTGAAACTGGGCTTGATACTGAAAGGAGAATACTAGTCAGTAGGTTGAAACTAGGTTTGATTCTGAAAGGAGAATACTAGTCAGTAGGTTGAAACTGGGCTTGATTCTGAAAGGAGAATACTAGTCAGCTGGTTGAAACTGGGCTTGATAGGCCTACTGAAAGGAGAATACTAGTCACTTGGTAATTAAACATTCATTCTATTCATCATGTGCACGGTGCATATGGACAGCCCAGTGTGCATATGGAAAGTCCATTTGTTGATTACGCTATTTTACCGAGATTTCGTCTAAAGGTTTGGATGCAGCTATGGCGGGTGTGAAACCAGGGAGGGTAAGCTTACTCTTCCGGACACCCGTTACCGCTGTTCATCATGTATTTTGTACACGGTGAACAATCCATTTGCCGATACCGTTTCACAGGACATCGAATATTGTCTAATGGTTTGGATTGTTCGTTCGTACTTGGTTTTATTTTATTTTAATTCTACAGAATCGTATCCTGAATATTTTAGTTCCATTACTGAATACCATTAAACGAAATCGATTTTTAAACTTAAAAGTAGACAGAATTTAATTATTGATAACTGTTATTGATAGAATATGTCAGGTTTTAGTTGAATTCTAAAATATCAATATTTACATACATGGGAAAATCAAACGTAAGTACATCCACTGTAAGATCTATGTACATATGAAACATTTGATCTATTCACAAATCAAACGCAAGATCTGTGTATAAATCAAACGTAAGAGCTACGTATACATCAATCGTAAGAGTTATGCACACATAAAATGTAAGATCTATGCACAAATGGAACGGGAGAGTCATGTACGATTCAAACAAACATGAGAGGGAGGGAGAGAGAGAGAGAGAGAGAGAGAGAGAGATGTCTGGTATTACCGTACCCGTGGGGACATGCGCACAGCGTAAGATCAAACGTAAGAGAATCGTGTACGCATCAAACAGACATGAGAGAGAAATGAAATGAAATGAAATGAAATGGGGTTTAACGTCCTACTGTCAAATTATCACCACAGTCCTTGGAGTTTGATTCTCGATAACTTTTCGCTTCATTTATTGATGTTCACGCTTCATCGGCGAAAATATATCAGAGAAAAACTATTAATTCCAATTCCAATAAGTTTACCCTAGCTATATGGTAATACGGTATTATATGCCCTAGACTACTTTCTTTGTTCAACAATTGAAAAACGGGGGTCACGTGTGACAGTCAGGTTCTGGATGACAACATTGGTTTAACTTCTAATAATACTTTTATTCTGCTTCTAACATATCATGTACAAAACGTAAGACTCCGTAATTAGCTGGTGCTGAGGGAGCCATGCCCCTACCTTGGCTTGACACAGAGTGCCAACTCCTGACTAACTTACATGACCGCTGTTCGTTCTGAACTCTAGACCTGCCTGGTCCCAAGTTAACTTCTAGACGCCCTCGCCTAGACTCGTCTCTCGATTCGTTTGTATTCTGGGTTTATAAACCTTTCTCGACAAAGGATCCGATCTCATTACATATCTGGCTATTGTATCATATCAGATTTAACACTCAGTAGGCCTACAGTTTGCTTATCAGACAAAGGAAGTTAAATAAAACAGGCCAGCCACAAGTTGATGTTACATAATGACGAATGAATGCCATCAGGACCACCAGGGGTGTCGATAGCGGACAGGTTGATATTAAAACCAGTTTCACGAGTCAAGATAGCACGAAGCGTCTATAATGTCTGTCGCTATGTAACACACGTCGTGTGTAGGCCAATAGTATCGGCGTCACAATCATATATGATCGACTGCAAAATCATCGACATTAGGCCTACACCTACTATTACGCGGAAGACAGGTCGAAAAGGGGATATTAATTTGATTTACATAAGTGTTTAGGCAACCTAGCTGGTTGTTTACATTCTGTTGCTATGGTTACATGAGTCATTTCTATTGCTAGATTTTGAAAGCGTACCCGTTTCACCATAGAACTATGCACGGTTTTAACGTTGAGAGAAACATAACTGCTATATCTTGATCGACATAATAATATTATTAAAATTGCACTGGTCACGTTCGTAAGCAGATAATCGAAATGCCCCAAACAAAGAGAAGCGTGTTTTGACATCGCCTCGTTGTCATCGCTGTGTCCAGACCATTCTGCGTGTTGCCTCGCTTGTAAATTTTAAAAAAATGACACGTGCGTCCTGATTTATTGTTTGTTGTGCTATTAGTACATAGGCCTACATCCCCAAACAAGGCAATTGACCATGTTTATGCTTCCAGTTGGACAAAATGACGGAACAAATAGCCTTTTATAGGGAAATTCACGTCTGTCGTCTTTGACGTCACTCACGGAAAAAATTAAAACGAGGCGGCAAATATGCATATAAAATGTCAATTCGTTTTTGTTTTTTGTTGGGTTTTTTTTTGGCGGGGGGGGGGGGGTATTTTTCCTTTGTAAAAATATTCAGAGTGACTTTTTAAATTTCGTAGGGCTTAAAAATATAATATTAACGTTATTTTCATATTAAAATATTTTTTTTGCGATAGTATTCTCCTTTCATATAATATGAATGTATATAAAATCTAATATACATATATAATTCTAATTCGTGTTTTTAATTTCGAATGTTATGGATAGTACTGAGCTAGGCGCCCTTTAAATTATCTACAAATGTATCGTCAATATCGTGACACACAGAAGATTTCATTTTCAATAAAGAGTTCATATACTTTAAAGTTACAATTTCATATTTTCTAAGAAAGTCAAAACATAATTATTTCTGTCTTTTGCACAATAGGTTGTCAACTCACTATTATACGATCATAGGTTATCTTTCTCACACTTAAAAATCTTTACACCGGAAATAATAACACAATTACCTCTTAATTACCTCCCTTGTTTTCCTATTCCCACCATGGAATAGCTATCTTCAAACGTTTGAATTTGAAGTTAAAAATGTTATTTTGACCAATTGCTCAACTGGCCATAGTGAATTATAGGATTAATAGGATTATTCTTTAACAAGGTAGGACTGTTTATGATAGCATCTTTTTGGGGGCTTTATTTTAATACATTTTAAAAATATAACTTAAAAATATGAAATTGTAACTTTAAAAAAAATAAACAACCAAGGAGAGCTTAAGGACTTCCAGTAATTGAAAAAATAAAAAATGATATTGGAAAATTGATATTTACTCATAGCAAATAAAAGATTAAAATAAAAGGACAATGGTACTTCAAAATGTGCTGTGTATTTACCAAAAGACAATTAGATATAACACTCCTTCTATTTATTCTTCTTTCCTCTGTTGATTATCAAATAAATATATTTTAAGAATCAAAACATTCTGCAATATTCGCTTCTTTGATGTTTTAATTGTTTTGCAGGTGAGGGGTAACGGGCATATAATATTTTAAAACGGAATCTATTAGGTCTTTTTTAATTTTGTTATGACGCTTGGAGAGATCAATTTTCCCTCATATTTTTTTTTTAATAAGAGAGTATAGTTTCATCTTAATAAATAGCAAACTATTTGTAGACAGGTTCAGATGCACTCCGAGATCGAGAACGAGGTGATTCCCTTTTTGCGTGCTACGTCATCAGTTCTCGAGGGCTTCCCCCACGTCGGCAGACGAGCTCGGGTTCAGATGCACTCCGAGATCGAGAACAAGGTGATTCCCTTTTGCGTGCTACGTCATCAGTTCTGGAGGGCTTCCCCCACGTCGGCAGACGAGCTCGCTCGTGAAAACGTCTTAAAGAACCTCTGAAGTCGTAAGTGAATTCCTTAATTGAGAATGCTTTGTGAACTCGGGGCACGATCCAAAAATGCACTGATGCTAGGTTCCCACTGTCCTGCGATACGTTACGATAATATTGTCCCTATTGAGTTCACGTCCAGATGCGTTGGATACGTTTCAATACGATTGCTACGGCTGTCCTCAATATATAAGACTTGATAGGATCACCACAATTTCTCCAAAATTAAAACCACTATTTCAATCGTAGCGCGAATCGTGAGAGTGGGAACCTAGCTTTAGTTCACAAATGCATTGGGCACGTGGTTAATGTACTTACAAAGGACGCATCCGAAGACCGACGTTTTATTTATTGATAACCCACAGTTCTTTGTTCTTTCTAAGTAAATTTAACCAACGTTTTTTAATCCTAATATAATAACACCTATTTATATATGGAACTGCTAAGTGTCAAGTAATGTTAATTCAATATTTATTCGATACTAGGATAAGTTTGATAAATATTAAATATCGATGTTGTAATAGACGTGTTATTGTTTTCGTTCTATTTAAAGACCCCCCCCCCCTCGCCACAAAAAACAAAACAAAACAAAAAAAAAACCCAACAAGAACAACATTATTTGTATTGTTTTTAATAGA